CAAGGTAATGACAATACCTTGTAGAAGTTGGTGAGGCAATACCGTTTGATGAGATGGTACCAGCTATCCTGCCATCCTGCCTGGAACTCGTTAAAGGGCTGTTAATAAAAATAGGAAAATTCAGATTTTTGCAGCTTTTAAGCAGGGTTCTTTTATAAGAGTATAATTCCTTTATAGCTCATTATTTTACTAGTGCTACCACAAAGTCATTTATTTCAAATACAGCAATGTAATTAACATTCGTTAGGGGTAAGTTAGAGCAGCAGACTATTCAAACCTATAAAGCAAATGTACCCCACCTGTGCTCCCAACTCAAGGCTTAAGCAGTACAATTAATCTGCATTTGCTACTTAATGAGCTTCTAAAACACACATGTACATAAAAATCTCAGTCATAACTCACAGCTTACTCGGACATTAGTCCACATCCCAGCTATGCCACTGATTTGGGACAAGATCTAGGTTATTTAGCCTGTTATTATATTTGTTTCCCATGTCTGAAAGTGAATGATACTTCTCAGTCACCCCACAGGGATGTTATAAGACTGAATTTGCTCAAGTTTGTAAAGCTGTTCGCAGTCCTTGGCTTACTGTGTGGAGCTGGAATGCAGTACACACGTGCCAAATATTCCTACTATCCTACAGCAACTGGGGACAGATTTTTCACATAGCAGCTCTTTGACTCTGGGACAAATGGCTGCTGAGTCAAGTGGTGATGGGGCACATTGAGGACAAGGCAGACAAAATGCAAGCAGCAAAGCAGTTACTCTAATGTTGCAAAAAAACCCTCCAGAACTAAAACTCCCAGTAAAATCAGAGTCTCTGTGAACAAGAGAACAACACAACCCCTTCTCAGAAGAGTCTTTGACAGGCTGTTGTATTGATAGCTGATTCTGGCAGCTGCCAACTGCAGAATATTAATGAAGCATTGGTACAAGAGCAGTCTGAACAGTTTGATCATGACTGACTGAAGTCTATGGCGCATGATATCAAGATACATTATTTGTCTGTAGCATTTGCTTTTAGTTTGACCTTGTTGCTTGCTTTCTGCTTTCTCTCTTTCTTTTTCATCCTTTTTTCTTCCTTTCCCTTTCTTCTTCCTTCCCTTTCTCCTTCCCTTCCTATCTCTCTCTCTTTCATTCACTGGTTTTCATTTGCCTAATTAAGTTCAAATGTGCTGAAACCTATATAATAAAAACCGTTGCATATCAGATGTTTTAAAAGTGTCCTCTTACCCTGTTTCTCTCGTATTATTTATTAGTAGACACATGTAGCTCTTACTGCAGTAAGCTATGTTCTTGTTCACTGCCCACATAAATGGGATTTATACAGGGGAACTAGAAGGAGCTTAGGAGGAAATGCTTGTGCACAGTCTGACTCAGGGTATGGAAAGGCTGAGCAACCTCTCTGTGTCTGAGAGAGAAGAAGGGAGATTGATGGCTTCACTCTGGATGCACTTCAGTCACTATTCCCCAGCTGCTTCCCTGGGCAGAGGGCAGGCAGCGTTCCTCACCCACTGCTTGCCTATAAAAGCATAGGTATGAGCAGTGCTCACTCACTAGCTTTAAGCACATGATGGAATTCATATGACTGACTAAAATCACTGGTGGTGACCTTTATTTACTCAAGTGCTGCCTTTTTTTTTTTTTTTTTTGGTACGGTCCCATGTCCTTCACATGAACAGCATCATACATGTCTGTTTTTATGCTTTCTACCCTATTTCTTTTTGTTCTTCACAGCCCATTGTAAGCTCTGAGAGTTCTGAAAAGCCATTTTGCTTGTCACTGCTACATTCCTCCCTCTTCCGCCTCTTCCCTTGTCAACATATATATCTACTCATCTAAAATGCTGGTTTGTTTTGATTGCTAATGGATTTTTCACTTCTCTGTATACTACCTATACCACCCAAATCATACTTGTTAAATTAGATATATTAATGTGCTAGACTGCTCTAGGAGGAGTTCAGTTTCAGGTATATTAAGTGCAGATTTTACAGGGGAAAGTTGCTTTAGCTCTTGAGCAGGTATGGGATGTTTGATATGCTGGATTTAATGTTTTTGACAAAATGAATACTTTTTTGCTGTTGATGCAAACATGTATTTTTTATTTTTTTTTTCCTTTTCACTTTTCATTAACTGGAGCTAAAATTGGCTATCACGATCATAAAGGAACAACAGGGAAGCTATTATTAACTCTACTCCGTGGGATAAACAGGAGGTGTGAGATACAATGATCCAGGCTCTTCTTTGTGACAGCATAATGTCTAGCGTAGGTTAGCAGACAGCCTTTCACTGCAGCAGCGCTACGAGCTGGCCAGGCAGAGGGGTTTTGCAGCAGTTTGCCTCTGGGCTGAGGCATAGGAGCAGCCAATGCCCCTTTGCTCGTCTCCTTAATGCCCCCTTATTTCCTGTGAAACCTTTGAAGGGAGCAGAGCACTGAACTGTCAGATCCTGTTCTGCTGCCCTAAAGGGGCGGGTGTAATGGGATCTTTCCAAAGCACCCATGCCTTAGTGACTTCCAGGAACCTTCAGCATTCTTCTGACTAATGTGGTGGCAGTGATTTTTCAAAGTGGTTGTGTATTATTTTTAGGAAAGGGAGTGCTTCCTCAAAAAAATTGATAATGCCTTTCCATTTTTATGGAAAGCAATGCCTTGATGTTGTGTGGCATTACTAAAATTTATAATAGAGATAGAAGTGTTGTCATATGCATATGAAGTATGAAAACAAATATGCTCAAACCTTTGAAGTGTGAGAAAACAATAGTTAACCTTTTTTAGGAAACAACCAAAAGTTTTCTCAGATGAGTGGAACAACAGCTTTCTGGGACAGATAGCAAACTCGATTGTTTACTGTCACTCAATTCACAGAAATGCAGTTCTGCTTTTCATGCCAATTTGAGGTTTTGTGCTTTTGAAGGCAATTGATCATCACTATGTGTCTTACAAGTTCCTGTGGGCTTTCTGAGATACTCTTCCTTCTAACGGGTCATGATTCAGCAAAAACAAACTGGTATTTAACTGCTTTGCTGAAGTTAAGTCTCAGTAACCAGAATTGTCTCTACTTGTCCAGCTTCTAGTGGCAGGCCCAGGTTTTCCTCGCTGATCTGTGTCAGTGGAGCTGTATTAAGCTGCGACTAGGATAAGCAAAAAAAAAAAGTACATGCCAGAGGTTCTTTCTGGACATGTGTATAAAAAGATTTATATGCTCTGTGTACAGAGCAATAGCTATCTGTTGCTGCCAGCGGCAAATGTGTATGATATGATGCAGAAGCCAAACTACCTGGGCTTTTGCAACCTCGCATAGAAGCCAGATGTTTTAGTGGTTGGTTTAGCTTCCCCCCAGGGGTCTGCCAATATCAGGGTGATGTCTGCGATCACCTTCAGTAAAGTGGAGAATCAGAAGTGCAGTGGGTTTCTGCCACAGGGCTAGGCTGGTGATAGATAATCTTAAAGCAACACTTTGCTACTTTTGTGGCATATATTGCACACAATGCTACATGGCGTTTACCCTGAAAGTACTAAAGGCACTATCCCGAGAGATTAATATCAGCTGACACAGTTCATTTTTTAGTTTTTGTTAAGGTAATCGTATCACTCCCACTGCTAATGCAGTTTGCTGCGAGAAATTGGAATGTGCCGTAAGTGGCACGGAAGAAATCACATAGAGACTTGCCGGTAATCATAAGCGTAACAGCAACCTACACACTGTTATCATCCATAGCTTTGGATATTGGTATGGCAGGAGACCAATTGAGAGTAATAAGTTGCCTAAATGCCCAAGAAAGAAGCAGGGAGGAAGGAGGAATTTTCGGTTCATGCTGTCTGTGTGGGCTGAATTACATAGAAGAAAACACAGTGGACTCCAGCTCTGTGTTTAATAATAAAGGGATTTGATACTGGAAGAATCTCAGAATTACAAAATGGTTTCTTGCTACTACACATTTTCTAAAACGGTTATGCAGAATGTAGAAAGCTTACGATTTTAGATCTCAGGATGACAGTAACAGTAAGAAATTTATTTCAGGACTTAAGAGTTTTGTGTGGATTACCTATAATGTCTTGAGCTGTCTGAATATGTTGGTTGCATCTCTCAGAACCTCTATAAGATATCACTCTGGTGGCATTTATTATGGGAATTTCTAAATTAGAGAATAGTTGTGCAAAGTTTGTGAGGCTATTAGTAAAAGACTTCCTGATGTCTTCTGACATGTGGAAACAGAGCAAAAATAGTTCCATCAAGCTCCACATTGTTCCTGCAAGTAATATCAATATCAACTAATATGAAGATTAAAATTTTAAAAATAAGAGTACAATATGGAATTGTAATATTTTGTATTTTTTTTATGGATACACAGGGAATTTTAAACCTCTGCTAGAAGCCGCTTTTTAGATGTTCTCATGAGATAAGCAAGAGATATCAACAATGGTCAAAAATTGGATAATGACAACATATGATAAAAAACTGTGCACTGTATTCTTTGCTGTCATTGCTGATGATTTGGCTGAGGTACTGGTAAATCTTGCTAACACAATGGCATTTAGTGATAATTCACTGTATCTTTTTTCCATTGTTTCCTATAAGTCCAGTTTCCAGGTTGTTTTTTTTTTTTTTCTTCTGTTTCATTCCTGTGCTAAATCCATGCCGCAGATAGCAAAGCTACGTAAATTAACCCCCACAAACATGCCACTTTCCAATAAGTGACTAATTGCAAATACAACTTCAGTGACTGAGATCGGTGATTTGTAACAGCTGCCACACACTCAATAGGATATTGCAAATATTCTTGCCACAAGTTCTTTGGCAGAACAGATTTTGCTTCTAAAAACAGGTATTCGCATTCTCTGGTCCCATGAAAGCTGGAAATTGGTCTCTGCTCTGAGGATTCTTTATAATCCCTGCAGGTGATAAGCAAATATTGCAGTTTGGTAAAGAAAAAAGTAAAACTGAAACCTTGTTTCTTCTCTTTTTCAGCCTAGTTGAAGAAGAGACAGAGACCAAAAATGCCACCAGCAACAACAGCGCCACAGTACCCACCTCCAGATGGAGGTTGGGGATGGGTTGTGGTCTTTGGGGCTTTTATCTCCATTGGATTTTCCTATGCATTCCCCAAAGCCATCACGGTATTCTTCAAAGAGATACAAGAAATCTTCCACACATCATATAGCGAGATAGCTTGGATATCATCGATAATGTTGGCTGTCATGTATGCGGGAGGTAAGACACTTGTGAAATTTGCCAATGCCATAGTTTGGGTTGGTTTTGTTTTGTTTTGTTTTGTTTTGTTTTTTTTCCCATGTGGTCTTAAAGCATTTAAAGTTAGTTGCTACCTGATTTTATCATTATTACCTAAAGAATTTACCCAAATACATCCTTTGTTTTGTATCATTCTTCAACAGAGAGTACTGGTAGCCACATCATCATTAAAGCACTGTTTACTATGCCTTTTTAAGCATTTTATATTCTCTTCCTTTTTGTTTTCCCCTTAGCACCTTTTGTTTATTCCTCTACCTAATTCTGTTTTGCAGTTTTGCCATCAATTCATAGTTTTTGAGAGTCACGTTTTCCAACAAAGCAATGCCCAAGTAACCTCTCCTGGGACTGGGGATCCATTTGCTCAGGTTCCACTGCCTCAGTGACATCTCTCAGTAGCTCAGATGATGGAGCTTAAACAGAGCATTATTATGGCAATGAGGGTTCATTAGTCAGGCACAGGTATTCCTCTGTAGACGGGGGTTTTATATCTTGTCCCTATTTGTCCTAAAATAAAATCCTACCTTCCATTTAGGCCAAGTTTCATACATGCCATCTCTATGACAGCTAAGACACAGGCAATCTTATTCTTGGGACTGAAATGAACAGTGAGCATAAATTCTCTGATATCTTTTTTCTTGTGAGCAAGAAAGTAAAGAACACGACAGATGAAAAAGGATTTTAAAGTATAAAGCCATGTTTAAGTACTAAGTGTCAAACCTGCTTTGGCAGGTTTTGTGTCTATCAACCTCAAAGACTAACTGTTAAATTCTGCTTGATTTCTTCATTCTTTTGGAGTATTTTTCTTAAGTATTGGTGGGACCTAGGTGCTACTTTCAGGCAGTCCAGGGGTCTGAATAAGAGGTTATTTCAGGCAACAGATCTGGCATTGCCCTTTCTTTGGATGTTATGAGGCAACTGCTTGGAACATCTCAGACAGTTTGCAATAAGCAATTATATGCATACATTTATATACATGTGTGTAAGTGTTTGTATATGTACATATGTATAAATGTATATACATAGAAACTGACAATAGCACACTGAGATTCAATATCTTTAATCACTGAAGAGCATCACTCCAATATTTTTCAGAAGTTGTATCTATGTAGTAGTAAAGTACAGTATTATCAGGTCCAGTAAACAACCTATTGAAAGAAGCATGAAGTCTGGTTTTTAGCATGGTAATTTTTTATCTCTGATTTCAGCCTTTGTAAGTTTTGACACCTGAATGACCCTAGCTCCTTTAGCAGTCAGGGAAGAGAGGTAGGTGCCTACAGAGAGGAATTCAGGCTGCCTGAGTTGCTCTCTCTAAGTACCTGTTTTTCCCCTCTGACTATGAAAATGAACCTGCAGCCAGCATAGGATTAGCTTAAGCACCTCAGGTAAATATTTTTCAGTTAATGGGATGGAAAAATGGATCCTTTTTTCAAATGCTGGCAGACAGAGACCTTATAAAGACATCTTGACAAGTGGTGTCAATATCAACAAAAGATTGCTGTTCAGATATTTTGATCCCATTTTTATTCATACACTAGTAGAGATTCATAAATTATTCATATACTAGTAGAGAATCATAAAGGATTTTATAGGACTAGCAACAATAACCAAGTGATTCACCAAAATTCACCAGGTGAAGTAACCCGAACTAACGTGATCAAGAGTAGAGTAAAAGAGCAGGTATGTCCCATCACATTCAGGTCCCCTCTAATGTAGTTCTCTTAAGGACTCATCAGCACTTGCACTGTGGAGTATACGTGTGTAACTGTGGAGGCCCCTGAACAAGCGCGGGACCCCTCTGGAACAAGGGAATCACACAGGTGTTGAAAAGCTGGAGTTGGTTTCTGCTTTCCCTGTGTTGTGACTTTTGACCTAGGCTCTTTTTCACCACATTTTCTAATTTGAGCTATATTTTCTAAGGGCAGATTTGCTTTGTAGCACAGGTGCTGGGGGGTTTTTTTGGTGGGTTTTTTTTTTTTTTTAAATCTTTGAATAATATTTAATTTATGCTGTTTCTGTCCTCTCAAAGTTCACCCAAGTTTTATTAACAGGACAGATGCTACTCACAGGATGTTCAGCTGTGGTCATTTTTATCTGTGAGGTTCAACGTGCACAACTTTCCATGTGGAATAGTACTTCCACCTTTTCTCTAATACTTCTTTTACTGTTCTGAGTATCAGCATACCTACTGCACCTGTACATTGACAGGAAAAATTACAAAATGGTTTACCATTTATTCTGCTAACACCTATCCCAGTCGCTATGAAGATTATCAGCACAGGAACAGTAGGCAAAGTTGTTTGGCTATCTTATTACAGAGTCGTGGTCTTAAAATGTTGAGCATGACAACCCTGCCTGATATAAACACTCTTTGAAGCCATAGCTTCTCTAGAATCACTTCCTAAAAAATAGGCCATTTAGACAATCACTGGCAGAATATGAAATAGCAACCAGGAAAAACATTTCTGAAGGAAATCACTCCATTGTTTTTAGTGTCTGAAGGTGGTTTGATTCCTCAGCATTTGATGTGCTGCAATGCGAAATACACGTTCAGAACATGAGTACAAGGTGTATTGTTTAGTATGAAGTGTGATACGTACGTTTGCAATGAACACTCTGTTCATCATACTACCAATTAAGGTAACCTGAAAACATCTAAGATCTGTCATCTTCATTAGAGCTTGGCGTTCAACCTATTAATCATCACGGTGGGTCAGTGAATAAGTTAGAGTCTGTGCAGACACTCTTTGCTTTGGAGGCTGCAGCCTCTTGCAGTAATTAGCTGGCATCTGTGTTTCGGTAACAAGGTATTAACTTACCTTTCAATGCCTGAGAAAAAAAAAAAAAAGAAACTTATAAAAGGCATCCAGTAAGGAGCTAAAAGAATGTTAATTATGTTTATCACTTACTTCATACTTAGAATAAATGGCATTAAATTATAGCAGACCATCTGGCAATCCATATGGTCTCCTGCAGTCCTGGTTAATTCCAGCAAATAGGTCAAGCACAGCATTCACCCTGTTAGGAAAGCACTAAGCAGAGGTGACAAATCTGATAAATCAAATCAATATGAAACTCTTTTCCCCTCTCAGTCTGGCATAATATGCACTTTCATGCTCATTTTTGTTGTTTTTTTTTTGTTTTGTTTATTTTTTTTTGTTTTTTTTTTTTTTTTTTCTTAAGCTCTCTTCCCCCCTCCCCCCCATTTCCTGGATGTTTGTTAGAGTTCAATAAAAAACCATCCCCAAAAGCTTGATCCTCTGATGTGATCAAGGTTACAGGTATTGCACAGCCTCTACTGTGCAGCCCATGCTTGAAAAAAGCATCCTCTGGAGAAGAGCAATAGTTCAGTCTCCATGGCAACTCCTTCTTCTGCCTCTCTTGAGCAGAGACTGTCAATTGTATTAAATTAAGGGTGATGGTTCTGTGATGGACTCCTACACCCAAGGGACTGTGACTGAGACCACCAAACTTGTGCTACCAGAGGACAGAAGCTGGGAATAAAATGGAATTAGTTGAGCTATCCTTACAGGGCAGCCTGTGTTTCTGTATGTATATGAACACATATGTATTTAAAATATATGTGCGTGTATGTATTCTTATATACATAAACTATATATGTATTCATATACTTATAGAGCCGTATTTGTGCTCTATCACACACAAGCATTAAGGAATTCAAGAAAAAGATGAAATACATTTGACCTCAAGTTCTCTCAGTTCATTCTCTCTTTCAAAACTTCACCTCTCACTTTGCACAGCATTAACAGGCAAAGGTGATTAGAGAGCTTCTTATCGGAGCTTGATCTGTTTCCATTAAAAATGTTTTCATTGCTTTCAGTGTAGGTTTGATAGGAGCCTTAGTGGCAGCTATGAAAACCATGTGACAGGTCTGGTGATTTCAGACACAGCTGACCTTGAGTTTTAAATTTCTATAGGGAAAAAGCAGTTGGTTTACTCACTTGTCTTTAACTCTTTTTCTGTCATTTTTCTGAGGACAATCTCAGTTTGGGTTTTTTGTTTCTTCATTTTGTTTGGTCTTGGTTTTGGTTTTGTTTTTTTTTTTTTTCCAAAATAACTTTTTGGGTGTGACATTGGGTTATAGACATTAGCTTGAGAACTGATAAATCCCTTAAGTGATACCCAGCTGGGAAATGTGAGATAGTCTTGTTGGTCTGAAGTTCAAAAAAGAAAGGTTCATTTAAATTCTAGATGATATTTCTAAGTAAATAATTTTAAAAGCACGTTTAGACCCCTTTTTCAGAAAGATGCTATATATGTGTAAGTAGTGGCCATTACCAGCATTCAAAACACGCTTCTAATTTAAACATGCAACATTTAATAGCTCCTCTTCTGTATTCTTAAGTTAGTCAAGTTTGAGGTTAAGTATTTCCAAACAGTAGCAAACCCTTAAACAATTTTTCAGGTGACAACACAAAAGTAACCTATAGACAAGTTTTTATTTGGACTTTGTCAAATATTAATTTGGAAAATAACATATCATATGGTATGTTCAAAATATTTGTGATTTTATCTCAGTGGGTGTTTTGGTGATAGTGCTGTGAAGATGAAATGGCATGCACAGTGGAGATGACAGTTGTGAAATCCATGCAACACAAACAACAGATGGTTATGGATTTTTACTTTTGGACAGGACCTGGACTCCTACACTTTTCTTCCTCCCTGGTAACTTTTTCTTATTTTGGTTTTACAAATACTGGCACAAGGATTTCAGTGGCCGTGGATAAGGAGATTGAGAAGCTTTCTTAAATTGACCTATGTCCTTTGTTGTCAGGGACAAGCGTTTTTCACCATCAGAATATGCAAAGTGTTGAATTTTAATAACCTCATTTAGAGTGTCCTTGAAAGCAGAACTTATCAACTTTCCAAATGCCTCATGGGCATGAGGGAATACTTCACATTTAGCCTAAAATATATGTAAAACATCTATGTCAAGTTAATTT